GTTTTATTATTCAACTTTTAATTTATTTGCTCACGAATACTTTTTGTAGAATACAAATAGCAGTTAGCACAGCGCTTTACTTCCGAGGGTCGCGGGTTTGATTTTTCGCGCGGTACAAACCTTTGTAATATTTATTTATCAACAGTAAAGTAGTATTATTATAATTTTTTTTAAACTTCCTTTACTTTAAATAAATATTTTAACAATACCACCTATAGTATCTTCTATGTGAAAAAAAAAATTACCACCACGTAATTTTGAACAGTTTACGAGTATACTAAAAGGAAACACGCTATAAGCTATGTAAATTTTCGTTGAGCATCCTGAATGTAGTGGGTAAATTACGTAGTTAAAAAGTCACGTAACACTAAACAAAACCTAACCTATGTAAATTCGCATACTCAAACAAAATTTGCATTTGGCTTTCATATTCTGATTTAATAGGGTTATCATAATATTAATACGTGAAGCAAAAGCTTTATACCCCTTGCGCGTATTTATAGAACTTACAGTTTATATAGAGATGGATCGTCTATAGCTAATATTTTAAAGTTATACACAAAAATACATTAAATCAATAAAAAAACATTACTCACATTATAATTATATTATATTATACGACTGATAACAAAATTTTTATGTCAAATAATTTCTATATTGTTAAGTGTCAAATCAGCGTATCGAGGTTTATTTCTGTGCTGTTCATTAGTTATCATAGTAATCTATCAATACATGAAGCAAGTCTTTGATAATAGAACCTTAACAATGTTCAAAGTTATAAGTTAAATAAATTATAACCGATTTTTGACCACTGGGCGGCCACAAGCATACAGAATTAGATCCATACTATTTGTGAACGTTTTTGGGACGGCCTCAAAATGGCCACATAAAAAAAATAAAATTCAATGTTCGAAATTTGAAACAGACGTCAATGCGTCATAACCACCACAATAGCTACAATTACGCGGTTGTAGCACAGATAAGTAACGTATCGGAAACGTTCGACGCTCTAGTTTGCGTTCAAAGTCAAGGCTGTTTCAACCGTAACATAGTTACAACATAGCCCTTAGTCTAATTATAGTCTATTACTCGCACAATTTGAATCGAGTTCGATGAACTGAAAGCAATTTTGTTTTGCTGAATTAGGGCTGTTGCTGATTATAAATTGACTTAAGACTACTTGTTGCCTAAAATAAAATTTTGAAAATGTGAAATTCATATGCCAGACTTAGCGCATAAACATGTATGGCGTATTTCGTAAGCATTCGCTAATATGATATACATTAAAAAAAAAATGTTTTAAGTTGTAGATTTTAGATTTTTTAGTTTTAACTAAGTTCTTTATTTATTTTTTTACTTTGATTGACTTGTAGAATTGATGACAGTGGCGATGTAGTGGTAGTACTAAAAACACTAAGCCATCTTTGGTCTAGAGTTTTAAACAACATCATGAATAATGATTATCATTAAATTATTTAGTTCCTAGTGACAAAGCTGGTAGTCCCTACGTGCGGCACCTGTTTACGAGAAAAACTGTGACAGTGACTCTGGAATATAATTTTGAATTAGGAATCTAATTTAAATTTGGAAGGTAGATTCCATTAACCCACACACCTACATCTATTATGAAAGTGATATGTGATATGCATGACTGTCACATGCATTCAAGTCACACACATGTTACCGTTTGTTTAAGGCGCGACGCAACGCAGGTAGACACAGAGTTAATCTTTTGTAGGTTACTATTACCTGACCGAATGACTTAATTTTTTTTGGTCCTGTTAAATTAGGCCACGATAAATAAGGTTTAGGAAGTTGTTTATTCTTTTAAATTACTTTTTTTTTATATATCGGCCTCCATGCATGGTGCGCACGGTGATGTATAAAATGTTATGGAAATAGGGTTTTATAAATTACATCATACAAATTTTACTAATATTATTAATTAAAAAGTTTATATGTGTATTATTTAAGTGTTATGTCTGTGCATTATCGTCATAAATGTGTTTATAAACAGTGTATTTAAATATTTTTAATATTCTATTATTTGAATTCTTTGAATTTAAAGAACGATTTAATACAATAATCTTTATTAAATTAATCAACTGTTTTTTTTCTCTTTAGTCAGAGGCTCGTGTAGATAATAGAAAAGTAAATTAGAAATTTTTCGAAACTAACTGTAGATTTGCTTTATTTGGAATAATTATTTTTAAATTCCAGTATCGGTATTTCGCCTCAAGTTAATTGAATTCTAAATTTAAATTTATAGAACAAGATTAGAGAATGCTTTATTAACATAATGAACTGTTTATTTGTGTCACTTAAATCATTTTTTTCTTATCACACATTACGTGACCATAAATTAAAGTTACTAAAAATAGAATGAACATAATCGTGGCTATGTAACAATTCTAAATCTGTATCAATATTGCAATCCCGCATACATTGCACTAGTTTCGTTATGACATCTTTGTAAAACGAGTTGTGTCCAGTGGTACATAATTATGACATAATACGTAATGATATTGCATAGAGCAATGATGCAGATCAGAAAGATTCAAACGAGAGGTTTTAATATGCACGTAAGTAATCCGTATGGGTCACTTACTTCAATGGTCAAGCAACTTGCTTTTTAAGATGTTTTTTTCGGACTACTCTAATGCTGTTAGCTGCAGCTGGCCTTTACAGCTTCACGGAGGATAGGGGGCGAGTGCAGATCACTCCAAACCAGCGGAAGAACTTATGGATGGCTAAAGGCCAACTCCCGCCTGTCGTATACGACTTTAGTCTGAGGGCACCGCTAGGGGTTCGAACCTCAGCTCAGGCTGTCGTAATTTCTATCGCAGTTTGAATTGGACAGGGGATGTTTAGGTTGAAGAGTAATATAAGTCGGTGCTATTAAAGAATCAAAAGCATGACATCTTTGTACTCCGTAATTGCAATTCCTGAGCAGGCAGGCGTCAAGTGGTTTAGCGGTTTAGCAGACCGCTTTACTTCCGATGGTAGCGGGTTCGATTCCTCACACAGGTACAAACATTTGTATTCATGAGTATGATTGTTTGTATCGGTCTGGATATTTTCTACGTATAATATAACTATATATGTATTTATATCCGAACGAGTGGTAGATAAAATATATTGTTATGACTATTCAAAAGTGCGTAAATTAAGTTTATTTGAATAAATGATTTTCTATTCAATTCTATTCTATTTTATTCTATCAGTTATCTAGTACCCATAACACGAGCTCTACTTAACTTGGGACTAGAAGGTCGGTTAGTTGTCCTGGGATATTATTATTACATATGCGACTGTTACCACTTACCATCAGTTGGTCCATCAATTTGTTTGCCATACCAATTACAATAAAAAAATGTTTGTTATTGTGAAACTGTAAGTTTTATATAATATTGTTCGTGCATAGTTGTAATTTGCATATATCTCATATTCTGAATAGAAGTTGCATCGTATGTTGCATAAGTAGTGAAAATGAAATAGTGATTCTTTTATATGTTAATTTATGATTAAATATTATTTATATTTTAATTGATGTCTTTTTTAATGTTATTTGGAATTATAATATTTAGAAATTAAATATGTAAAAATTAATAACGACTGAATTAAGCCTAGCCTTATTCATGAAATGTCAACCGTTTAATATAGCATATTTAATGTAATGACCTGTTTTTTTTTAAATTTAATGTTCTTCATTTTTTTTTAATCTATAGATACGTAGAAGCTTCTAGTATTAATATACATAAGGAGTCAAGTGCAAGATATAAGAAAAAATAGCCAAGACCTGAATACGTTTTATAGTAACAATTGAAATTAATATTTTACGAATTTTAATAGAAAATATTTTGAAGAACATGTCCTTTGTGTCCATCATCTATCATCGGTCACATTTTGTCCAGACAAAAGGAGACCAAAAAAATGGGACCGAATGCGCTAAAGTCATCGCAACGTTCTGGGGAAAATACATTTAGTTGCCATTTAATCGGAAGAAGACGACAAAAGAGGTTCAAAGTCTTCTGTCTATAAAACGTTTTTGTCAGTTGTTACAAATATCATTATTTTGTTTTAGAAAAATACGTAATTTCTTAATTTAAAATTTTTTATCGTACATACTCGGTTATTTTTTGGAAGATATATGTTTTTTTATAGGTAGTTTTTTGGAAATATATTTTATATACTGTTTTATTATGATATGTGTGTAATATATTATGGTGTATCAATACCTATAGGAAGTGTATAAATAGTCGAGTAAACAAGAGAAACTGCGCGTGCGCTCTCGCGCTGTCACCACTCAGTGTGACCCACTTAAGCTTTTCGTCCATTTATGTAATATTGGATAATTTCAGAAAATTAATAATCATCTTTATTTATTCACTTTTTAAATATTATAATTCTACTATCAATAATTTGACTTATGTAATTTAATTTGTAAAACTGTTTGGTTTTATCTATTTTTAATAGTTTTAATTATATCAGTACGTGCTATGCATAGACATTATAAACATTTTTATAGAGTAGGTATAAAAATACGCATTAATTTGATGCTTTCATCGTTAGCCGTGAAAGTTTAAAAACTTGTTTTGTGCATCTAGATTTTTTGGAAACAAGTCATTTGTGACTTCTTGTACTATTTAATATCTTAGTTGACAGAAAAACACAAGAAAATATTTATTAAATAAATATTTTATTGTATCTATAAATATACTTTATGTCACTATTTATTTTAGAAATATGGCTAACATAATATTTAAAATGATGTAATGAAACAAAATATGTGCACGTTTCACAAATTTTTAAATTAGCGAATTATTACCGGTATTGTATGCGAATCGATAAAATTGAGCCTTCCTCCGATGATGAATCGATGATAATTCGACTTTCACTAAAGAAAGTGGACTTGCCAGCGGCGTATAAAACTTTGAATGGCGTCGAACCTCCATACACACAAACGTTTTATTTTTTAACAATAAAAAAAAATAACTCACCCAAAAAGTCAACCTCATGGTATCCGTGCGGCACAACACTTAAAAAAAATAAATTAAAAAAAACAAAGCACAGCACAGGCGCGTTCGCGCGCGCTTCTCTCACAACTGAGGCAAAGGTGACGGCTCATACAGCCTCCCCGCTAAAGAAAGTCACCAACCTTCACATTCGTGGATTATGTAAACTTAGGCAAAAAAGATAGCGCAAGTGCATTATGAATGTAATGGTGTCTGAGAACTGTTGAGCAGTTAACAATGAGATTCGGATAACCCGTTCGAAGATGATCTGTGCGAGATTTAGTTAAAAGTCGGTCAATAAAAGCTTTACAAAAAAAACTATATGTATGACCAATTTAATCAAGTTTTGTTATAGATATCACAGAATGATAATGGAATGGTCCCGGAAGCCCGCCTGCGCTAATACCAGTGGAGGATCATAAGATGAACATGTCAGGTCAGGTTAGACCATCGTGAAATCACCAGGAATTTATCATGATGGTTGCCAGAGAAAACAGTGTGGGAGGCAAGCTGACATGGTCCATTACTAGCAATGGGGTCCAGTTCAGTCCACATTACTACTAATCCGTTTCTCCCTTCGATATGTTATTGTGTCAAGTATTAATTATTGTTGTTTATTAGTTTTCAATTGGTGGATGTTGTAAATTTGCTAATACGGGCAATATATAATATGTTAAAATATAAATTTCCGATTAAGCAAATCGGTATTGCAAGTACAGCACTACCCCGCTATAGGTGGCAACATTATTTGAAAATTTGACACTTACATCTATCAATTATGTCTCCGGAATTAAAAAACAGACTATAGGCAGATATTTCTCTGTCGGAACAGTTCAGAGATAATCGGAACGATCTCATTAATCACTTAAAAAATTCTAGGACACTATTAGGCACTGTTAGCATATCTATTAATAGTGCACCCTATAACAAAATTGACATAGAGAGAATCTTTACTCAAATAAACTTACTAATAACTTTTGAATAGACCTATTTTGGTTGATTCTACCACTCATCCGCAACGCAAATGCATGTTGTTGCTCTTTTAAATGAATGTTGAATGAATTTAAAATTACATTTAATTTATTTATTACATTATATTATAAAGGTTTTTGGGTGAGTAAAACTGTCAAATCTATACATATAAATAAAATTGGAGTGTCTGTTTGTAAAACCGAAATAATCATTTTGTACTATATGCATATGAATATAAATACGGTACATACACCAAAATATTTTTTTTTACAATTTTTTCTTTTTTTATTCCGGCTAATCTCTGAAATGGCCTGACCAATTTTGACGGGACTTCTTTTGGCAGGTAACTGATATAATAAAGACTAACTTAGGCTACTTTTATTTTAGAAAAATATTTTATTATACAAAAATATAGTTAGCTTCCACGCGCACGAAGTCGCGGGTACCTACAGCTAGTAGCAAATAAATAGTTACTCGAGTAACGAAATAAATCAGTCATAGTTATCAGAGCAGACCAGTACCTACAAGCTGCATCCGTTCACGAATATAACGGGTGGACCAGTCATCACTGCTAAAATGATTTTATAAAAAACTTGCTGACCCCGTTGTTTTGCCATATAAATAAATATTGCTATTAAAAAATAGCGATTAATGTTAGGAGAGTGAAAATTTAGGGTTGTATGCCATATTATAAAAAAATAAAAATTGTCCAAAAAATGTTAGGGATCGCCAACCCTTATCACTTGAGGTATAAAAAATAGATAGTAGCCGATTCTCAGACCTACTGAATATGATATTAAATTTCATAATAATCGGTCAAGCCGTTTCGGACGAGTATTAGTAACTAATATTGTGATACGAGAATTTTATATATAAGATAATAATATTGTTAGGATTGAAAAGTGCCAGTAGATATTGGATTTTTATTTCTACCCTCGATAAATCGTTAAGATAATTATAACTTTCCCAACCGCAGACCGCCAACTGTCATAACCAGCGGTGGTGATAGTCGGAGCATAACAAACAGATGTTTAAGGAATATAAATATTAACTACACTATTATACATAATACAAGTGGTTTTTTTTTTCGGACTACTCTAATGCTGTTGGCCGTAGCTGGCCTTTACAGCTTCACCGGACGTTATGGGGCGAGTGCAGATGGCACTCCAAACCCGCGGAAGGACTTATGGAGCGGCTGAAGGCCAACTCCTGCCTGACGGATACGACTTTAGTCTGAGGGCACCACTAGGGGTTCGAACCTCGGCTCAGGCCGTCGTTATTTCGATCCCCGTTTGAATTGGACGGAGGGTCGAACGGAGGGGCATACAAGTGGTGTCCTGCGTCTTTCTTTGCTCGGAATACAGCCTATTTTCCACGCTGATAGTGTAACTATTTATAGTTGAATAATTTTTAATAATTCCATTATTATTATTCCATTTAAATAATGTTTGTCCTGTTATTTTTATTTATTACGATGGCCTCACTAGTCTATTAGTTTAGCACACAAACCCGATGCGGGTTTGTTTGTATTTATGAGTATGATTATTTGTATGGTTTGGGTAAATTATAATTAATTATATTTTCTATGCGTATTATGTATGTTAAAGATAGACAGACCTCTTTTTATAACTGTTTCTTATTTTAAACCATAGAATAGAAATTCCTTTTTTAAAAAAATCAAATGAAGCTCTTTTGAATAGTCATAATATTTTTAATAAAAAAAAATGTCTAGCACCTATAACATAAGCTCTGCTTAGCTCAGGACTAGATGAAATATGAAATATCCAGGCATATTATATAAAAGATTATGTAAGAATGAAAGACAAATACATCTAAATAAGTATATCGAGAATTTAAAAGTTGAGTCTATTTTTATTTGAATTAATCCCAACTTTTATTCCAAAACTTGACTAATAAAAATCTTATCTGATTAAAAGTTATGGCAAGACAATGTTCCACACAAATGAAACGGTGAGTAGCGAGCAGATGTGCTGTAACCTTCGTGCGTTGTCTTTCGGGAGGAATAAATATTCATCTCTATCTCTTCTCAATCTCTTTTTTCCATTTTATTCTTTAGTTTTGTGAATGTCAGACAATTTGGTATATATTTTAGTTTTTTTTTATATATGTATATATTTATATCGTTTATCTTGTATCTCTTCATATAATATTTTCGTCTATTTTGTTGCATTGTTTGATCATTTATTATATTTAAACAGCCAATATTTCGCAGCATTTTAATTTCGGGGGTATCTAGCTTTTATATCATTACATAATATAAAACAAAGTCGCTGTCGCTGTCTGTCGGTCCCTATGTATGCTTAAATCTTTAAAACTATATATTTAGAGTGATTCAAGAGGAAGCTATGTATATGTATAATACATGTTCACCCGGACGAAGCCGGGGCGAGTAGCTAGTATACTATAAACTGAAATAGCTATTAAAAAAATGCGGCTGAGACAAGTGAGTCCCAGGTAACCAATTGTGTACAAAATCTGCCTACGCTGGAAAGAAACGTAAATAAACATTAGTAAAAACGCTTGAGTATCAGAACGAAATCTAACTTATTGAAATCAAATTACTTTGCGTAATGATTAATCAAAAAAAATATTGAATGTTACAAAATCGCAGTTGCCTATTGAAAGGTCGTTTTATTACCTACTTATCTAATTATTATACGTTTACCGTCAGATTTACAAAACGTAACGTGTGTTGTTTGCGATCAATTAGCGTAACCTTCGATTATAGTACATTCGATATGGAATTTATGGATTAAAGAATTTTTTCATCACATGCTGTTGGCGACAGACCTCTTTTTATAACTGTTTCTTATTTTAAACCATAGAATAGAAATTCCTTTTTTTAAATAAACTTAATTTAAGCACTTTTGAGTAGTCATAATATTTTTAATCAACCCATCATTAGGAAAACTCTCTCATCACAAGAAGAACGAGCAAGAAACTTGTGTGTTGCTTTTTTAAATAATCCTTGTAAGTTCACATTTTTCAAGTCGAAACGTGTGAATAGAAACTACCAACTAGCACTAATTCATTGGGGTCTAAATATAAATACATTATAAGATTAAATCAGTCGTAGTGATAAGAGCAGACCAGTCCCTACAAGCAGCACTCGTTCACGAGTATGACGTATTAGCCAGCCATCACTGCGCTCAACCATAAATTTTTATTTACAATTTTTTGACTCAAATTTTTCTACATTGTTTTTCTATTGCTGTGTCAAATATGTATAGTAAATATATTGCTCTAAGATTGGTAAGATATTTATTTATTACATATCAACTCCGTCGTCAGAATAATTTTTTTTATGATTTGAAATTTACGATAATGTAACGGTGCACCCGCTTGTGCTAACGGTTTAAGCTGACGGGACACTTGTGGAGGATGATGAATTTTGCCACCATGGGCTAACTGACCTGAACTGACTGAAGGTCAGGTCAATTTATCACAATAGTAACCAAGGGATACGTGGTGCTCAATCTGACATGGTACATTGCTAGTAATGGGTTATTTAGTCCATTTCCACCACAATCCCTTTCCGCAAATTGGTGATATTGTCAAATGCCGATGTTGTTTTGAACACAATATGCACAAATTTACAAAACGAAACGAAAAAGTCCGAACAAAACCCGAAAAAGCACGAATATGACTTAATATGACTTTCACAGAGTATATTTTTAATCCGACGTGGCAGGGACAAGTCTATCAACGTCTTTCAGATTAATTTTTGTTTTGATATTAATTGTTTCAGTCATAAGTATAAATTAACACAAAGATTTCTTCGTGTGGGCCAGATTTGAACTCACAACCTCTTTGATAAATTCAGGGTTACAAACCACAAATCACGAATTATTTTATTTCTATTTACTATATATAATATATACCTAATTAGATATAGATGTTACCTATATATCCTAATTAATATACCTATGTACCACTTCTAATAATACTATTAAATCAGCCATTATTTTTCTAATTAAAAACATAATTCCAGGTCAGTCTCGTGATTATTAATTAGGTTTTTGTTAAATAATTACTGTTAAGACATTGACGCTACATAAGCATTTGACGGACAAACAGATGT